TATAACTACAGTGTCTGGCCAAAAAGACACTGGGGAATATGTGGGAGTTGCTGGCTGACGCAGTGGCTGGGCGGGATAAATCGACTGCGTACTATTGTGAATCGACTATGTGGATTGGATATAGCCAATGATAGAGTTATGTTCGCGCCTGCCAAAGTTCGCCGTAGTGAACATCATACAATTATCCTCACCAAAAAGTCCTGGAAAATATAAAGACGAAGCGCTCTACATTGGTGCCTTGATCTGGCTTTATATATAGGTTCTTGTTTCCGGTGCTCTTCTACCGCCCTTACCTCCTGCTCTATTTGCCTCGCTGGCTATACTTTTACAACCCTGCACGTACTCGTATTCTACAGCAGGAGGAAGGATTTACGATCCAATCAGAAACCTCTTATGTAACCTACAAAGATTGACCAATAGGAGGCAGCGCGAAGCCAGAGTCCCGTAGTCCCGAAAATACGGGACTACGGGACGGGTTTGAAGACCAATATATAAGAAGACCGCTTCCCAGCCTTCGTTATTCTGGTCCTTCAGCAAGCAATAGCTTTTACAATCGATAAGTACCTTTTGGCTACTATTATCGTTGTTCTTATTCCCAGCGATATACTCCTGTGCTTGTAACGGTCCGTCACAAAGGAGTCGAAATCTGGAAGCGGGATCGGATGGCGGATGGCAGACGTCGTTCTACGAAGTTGTCAGCTTTCCCAAGACAGGGGTGGCTGACTAGCTTAAGAACTACCAGAGTGGCTGCATCATGGTAGAGGTCGGGTAAGGCTGAAGGCATCCGCACAATCTGGGATCTGCCCTGTCAAACCCTTGCGAGCGTCACCCGAACATCCAACCACCACGCATGTTGTCATGGCGGTGCCAGACATGTGTCAGATCACATGCACTTTCATTCTTCCATCCCATCTGTTATTGCATATAAGGATGTCATCCCTCTCATCTGATGTAGACTAGCTTCCTCTTTCTTCTTTATCTTTAGCTATTTATCAAGAACGTCAAATTATTTGTGTGCCAGGGCCGCTAGATCCACGTGCGAGACACATGTCAGACTATTTAAAGAAGCAGTTATGAAGCTGCTCCGAATCCAACCGCCTACTGTGGTAGAACAACCAGCTCCGGCCGGTGATCTCGTCCAGCCGCACCTCAATCCTCAGCATCCAACGGCTTTTGCGCATAAACCACGCGGAAGTCGATGAGCCCGTGAAGGCTCATGTTCTTCAACTCGGCTCTCAGGTGGGCCAAGTAAACAGCAATCTTCTCTTGTGGCCAGCCCCTGACGGTGCCAAACATATACTGGCAGAGGCCCTCAAGATCTTGCGTGTAGACGAGGTAAAAGAATTGGCCGAGCTCCTTCCTCTTCTCATCCTTCGGCCATTGCGAAACCGGGATCTGATATGTAAAAGATGTTTCTGGTTAGCTTTCTTTCGTCGTTATTAGAGACAAGCCCTTCAAACAGCTTATGGGATGAGAACAACTGGATGTACAGCTTGCCGGGTAATCCTTCTTCGTAACATTTACAAAACCGGCCTCTTCCATGCCCCATTCCTGCAAATTCCTTTCGAGTAGATCAACTGGGTTTCCGGATTTTCTTCCAGCCTCCTGCCAAATCTTGCCCCATTGAACCATAGCATTTTCCTCATTTATAGTATTGTCCTCCGAGTAGATTATACCCGACGCATCGATGTGTTTAATCCAACCACCAGGCTCCAGGCAGCGGTAAGCCTCCTTATATGCAGCAATCCAATTCTTAGTAGTGCCAGTGAGCCAGCGCATATGGATATAATCGAAATGGCTAGATTTATAGGTCCACTCTTTAGTATAATCGTCGATGTCGAAGCATAGATTAGGGGTACTCAGGTAGGCTGAATCGGCGAAATATCGGTACCGATCACGGTGCAGTCGGGAAACTTGTCAGCAAAGTCAATAGCCCACAATCCTATACATTGAGTCAGTGCCTCTATCTGGTTACTCATCCCTGGGGATCCTTAAATACATGGCTTACCCGTTCCAGTGCCAATATCAACAACATGCTTAGGGTCATCTGAAATTGGAGCCGTATACAGGTGACCATCAAAGACAAGAGTCATCGTATGATGGCTAAGTGTGGGTCAGGAAGCTACCGCAGAGTTTGATCGTTGACGTCTACTCACTAGATGTCCAGCATCTCATTCTGCTTCTCATCATTGGGACCCCTGTATCATGAAATGGTAGTTAGCTTCAGAAACGCTACAACACAGTTCCCCAGGTTCCAAAGAAGACTTGCCAATACTCTCCGTTCGTAACAGTATCGCTGTGATAAGTGTGGCCGTTAAGAGTACGATAGTGGAGGATACTCGAAGTAATCGAGGCAGTCGAGCTCTCAGTATCGCTTCCTAGGGTTGAGTCCCAGTCACTCTCTGGGTCCGCTGTCGGGAGACCCTATGAGGCGTGTGAGACTTGTGCCAGTAACAAGCCTGGCAATCTTAACCGTTAAGCAAAGGGCGGCAATGAGCATAGAGAAAGAAAGCATACCTGCTCCAGCCAATGAGCGCCAGATAGAAGCCCAGGGGTTTCTGGTGCCGGTGTGGACTCCCTCGCAGCCGCTGGAGTTGCGGGAGCAGGTGTGGGGGATTTGGGTGCCGCCGATGATGCTCTTGCAGTAGCTAGGGGACGCAGGACCAGGCGTGGGAGACTTCGCCTTTCCCTTTGGCGAAGCTGACTCGGATGCCGGCGACTGAGCCTTTTTCGCCGGAGAACTCATGGTCGAATCTGCGAACTCTTTTCACTGGAGCTAGGTATGGGTGAGGATGATGGAACGTCCAAGATGCAGAGCCGTCCAATTTATGGAATGCTATCAGTGCCAAATCAACCCTGGTTTGTTTGTTAGCGTGATTTTTACGACCTCTTCCGACAAGGGAGAAAACACTGGATGCTGGAGTTCTCCCTGGTCCAAACCACCGCAGAATCAGGGTGAGGAACAACACTCGGTCACATTCCACACATGCTCCAAAACTTTGAACTCGGTAATCCGCCATGGTAATCTTCATCCACCCCTCTAAGTCTGAACTGCGATAACACCACCAAAACAACAGCTGAAATTGTGTATTCCGTTCGAGTTAACTTGAATTCGAATGGGCTCTGTCCCACTCTGATTTCATAAGATGCCCCTTCAAATTTCATTGTCGTGTTGGTGGTCAAAATGATGCTGAGACTTACATTAATAACTGACTTGCCGACTATGCGAGGTAGGCCCGCTGTACTTTTGGTGCAAAAAAGGCGAGTTGCCATGGCGCATTACCGAAGTTTGTATAACAGCGAATGCAACTACCCCTTATGGAACGATCAACCGCTCCAGTAGTTTCTAGGCCAGACCGTTACTCCTAATTTGTCATCCCGAGACGATGGGGAGCAATGATGGGGAAAATGCTTGATTGGCGGCTTTAAAAAGTGAAGAGAAATGGGTTACCAACCTGCTAACCCAGGTCTAAATTCTACTAAGATGGAAAATCAAGGTGGGAAGCTCTTTCCACTTGTTACAAAACCGTAAGCCGTTTCTGGCGCTGATGCAATCCAATCCAAACGCGCTCATTACAGTTCTGGCGGGTTCGGAAGTCTAGCTATCCGGAATTTGACGTCGGGGGAGCAAGTCTTTACCCCGGCAGATCCAGTCTTGAACTAGGGTCCAGATACAACGTGCTGGATGGATGGATCGAGGAAAGGAAGACCTGTAGGGCAATTTTGTTGCGAAACTTTCCTTCAGACTCGAATGCTTGGTGTTAAAATCGAACTGGTTTGGGTTAGATGTCAGAGGCTTGGCACACCTGCAATGTCGGCCCTACCGACAATAATAAACGCCGTCGGTATTCAATATATCAAGGTGACCTTCGTCTGAAATCGTCCGAGCAAATATCATAGTTTTGTCTTCGAGGCCATCCGCAAAGCTCCAGCCAGATGTGGGAATATCCGGTTTTCGACTCAGACGACGACCGGATTAGTATGGATGGACTTTGCTTCCGTGGGCAAGGAGTCATACCCAGTCATGCACCTGGATGGTGTGGCCGTGTACTTAACGGGACTGAAGCTCGTTCAGCCAGTCGATTCTCTATAAAGGGGCGGCTGCGCTAGCAATAGTAAGACCAACCTGGAGGTGCAATCTCGGTGTTTCAGGACAGTCTACTTTGCTCATAATCCGCCCAATTATATCAATCTCTTTAGCGCCGCCTCCAACACTCACCGTAATGCCTCCGTAACGAACAATTTGATACGGGAGGTGATTGTTCAGTTTTTTTACCCTATCACGTGATTAAAAGACCCGATTGATATCTTTCTCACTCCCATACACAAGCTTAGTGAGGGCCAGACTAGTAGTTGGGTCGGTGACGACCAGCGAATTCCTGGTGTTGTATGTTAATTTTTTTGGTTCTTTCTTCATTTAGTTTTGCTTGTTTCAATTATCCATATCAATCATCATCTTGCAACTCGAGCGAAAAACCAAGGCATGGACATGAGTGGGTATCAGGGTAGTTTGTTGACATTTTTGATACCTACAGTATATCTACCAGTTTTGTCTCCCTCTCCCTTCATTCCACCCTTGCCAACGGCAACTTCCTCTGTCGACTGAGTGCCTCAAGAAGTTTCGCTGTTTCCTCTCCCTCCCCTTTAAAAGTGACGAGAGTTCCTATCTCCACTTATTATCAAGCCTAATAACCGTAAACCCGTTGCCATACCCATTCTCCATTCCACCAGTCGTTCCATCCGAAGTGCAATAATCCATGATGCGGCCTCCAGTTTGGGCGATATGTCTCCTACATCCATCCATCCATCACAGTCACAGTTAGCAAAGGTCCCTACTCCCCTGATCCAGAAACAACTACAAAGAAAGGAAAGAAAAAAAAAGGGGGAAACTCACGCCCAAATCCTCTGCGCAGTCACCGTATCAGCCAACACCCCCGTCAAACTCGCCGCCCCCGCCATCCACAAAGTCGTCCACTCCGCGTTGATCGTGTAATATTTCTCTCCTTGGGAGGCCATCTCATTGATCACG